TCCTTGCCAGCAAGCAAGCTGCATCATTCTGCTCACAGACCACACTCAGTTGGACTGCCTGCCTGAAAGAGTCAGAGTTTTCCCTGGCAGGACAGCCCAGAAAGCCGCTATTTTAAAACAGCACAGCTTTTTTCCTGCTACGACTGAAAACCGAAAAGCATGCGTTCAGCTTTTCACCAACAGCATTTAAGTGTTTCGAGGCAGGACCTCTTAATGAGCTGCAAGGTTTTGCAGGTAAGGTTGAGTCAAGAAGCCTCTCTTAGATGAGAGCATTTGCTTGCCTCTAGCAAGCAGAGCAGAACCGAAAAATTGCTGCTACCAAGAAAACATACTTTACGCTATTCTTTCCCAAGCTTTCTCAGGCTTTCTGTGGATTCATTTATCCACATCTGGGCGCCATATGTAACATGAGGGCCGGCTTGTTGGGGTATCTGTCCCGCCCGGTACCCCTCAGCCGGCATGCCCCAAAGAGAAATCACACACAAGACTCCATAAGGTTATAAACTGATTGGCTCATTAGGTCAGGCTTCTTGTTAACTCTTATAGCTTATATTAACCCATTATTCTCATCTATGTTAGCCATAATGGCTCCGTACCTTTCTCAGCTGGGCAAGTTACATGCTGCCTCTTCGGTGGTCTGCACAGGAGTGGCGGAGGGACCTTCCTCCTCCATAACCTTATTCTATTCTCTTTGCCCCGCCTCTACTTCCTGTCTGGTTGACCCGCCTATACTGCCTGCCTGGCCAATCAGCGTTTTATTAAAATACATGATTGACAGAATACAGATAATTCTCCCGCACCAGCTGAACGCATCCTTAGGATAGCAATGAATATGAAAACATAAAAGGTCAAGATAACTATCAGAGCAAAACAGACATTGAATGATGCTAAGATAAAAAGGATGATCTCATTCACAGATATATCAGAACATGAAAGAGCTAGGATTGGAGGGATATCACAGAAAAAATGATGGACCAATTTAGAACGGCAGAAGGAGAGGGAGAAGGTGAATCCAGTATGTACAGCAGACTCAATCAAGCCCCAGGCATAGCAGCCAATCACCATGTGAGTACACACACTAGTAGTCATGGTAGTGGCATAATGTAAGGGCTTGCAAACTGCAGCATGCCTGTCAAAAGCCATGACAGCAAGTAAAAAACAGTCTACACTTGCAAAAGACACAAAGAAGAACATTTGAACAACACATCTCCCATAGGAAATAACTTTATCCCCTGTGAGAAGCCCAGCCATCAACTTTGGAGTCACAGCTGAGGAGTAAACACAGTCTGCCAGAGAGAGGTTACTGAGGAAAAGGTACATGGGAGTGTGGAGACGGGAGTCCAGCCAGATCAACACAATCATGCCCAAGTTCCCGATTAATGTGACGAGATAGATGAGGGTGAACATCATGAACAGGGGGACTTCCAAATCCGGGTTGTCAGTCAATCCCAAAAGGGTAAACTTAGCCACTTTTGTGCCATTCTCCAAGTATGACATTTTGAAATTGTGTATCACCTGTCTAAACAAAGAAAATAAATATATTCTTGATTCATAGGAATTGATGTCAGAGAACTCCTTTTATCCTAATGACATTATTTGCATAATCTCACTACTAAAGCAGGATTCTCAATAACTCTTAGACTGTCTTAATCTTATCACATCCATACAGTGTAATCTCTAGAGCCCTCTGCATGGTATCTCTTAGTTCCCAACAGCACTCAGATATTCCAAATGACCCTCAGGTGTCTTCCAGGTTTTATTCACATATTCTCATTTAGGTTGAACATTTCAACAATAAACTACTTTGATTTTCATAACTGTCTTTTCAAAGTGAGGTACAAAATAACTAAGCACTATGTACTATGTGACTAGAAAATACTGGACATTAATACATTTAATCTTTCTATTCCATTGTATAATTGCTTGAGAACAAGAGGAGCATCGTTGCATTTCTGGGTATACCATGGTGAAATATGAGATATTCAGCCATACAGCTGGAATCTGTTTGAGATCTAAAGAAATATATTCATCATTTGATCCTTCAAAGAAAACAGTGCTCTGTGAAAGACATGCCCCAAAAGGGTACAAAACTCAACACTTATTTACCATTCAAATAAACACTACACTGAGCAACCTACACTTACTTCACTCCCTTGAGGGAAGCAACAAAGAATAAGAGAGGTGTTCATTATTAATTATCCATTTCAACAAACATGAACAACCCAAGAATTTAATTAATTTGAAAAATGATCATTGTGCTTCCTAGTTTTCCTAGGGTGTGTAATTCTTCTGGGTGTTTAAAAAAGTGCTTTGGAAGCATACAAGCATCCTAAAAGATAGCATGCTGTGATGTAACAGAACAGTCTCTGGCACTCACCTGTGTGTTCTTCATTCCAGATTTATCCACTTACAGATCACCTAGAATTAGATAAGTAGCAACTTTTCTGTGTCTCAGTTTAAAATGAAAATTGTGCTTCGCCAGGATGTCTGGAGAATGTAACAAGTTGGTAGGTTTAAATCACTGAAATTTCTGCCTCATTGTTAGAACATAACAAATCATAAGTATATTATCATTAAATAAATGTTACTATTATTAGAATAATAATAATATAGTAACTTGGAGGAAAAAACAAAATATCAAAAGAAACTCAACACAAATATTTTAACCATATTTCTAAAATTCAAACCTGTTTAATTATATATACAACTTTGACAATTATAAACAATATAAAATTTAACTCTGAGACACAAACAATGAGATATTACCCTTTTACTGCATGACAGTCTTTTGAAGGTTGTGACATTATATTCAACAGTATAATCACATCTTGAGATATCTTCTTTTGAAGGTTGTGATATTATATTCAACCGTATAATCGCATCTTGAGATATCTTCACAATTTTCATCATTGTGTACCCTTGGCCTCCTTATCATCGACTATCTGTGCCAACTGGTACCTTCTCCATGGAGGTACCAAAGGTCAGAGGTCAGAGAATCCAAGCATACTTCTGCTCCTTCTTTTGAATTAGAGGGTTTGACCCAGGGAGTGGCTGCCTTCAGGATATTTGGTCTAAGGTGGGCTCACTGCCTAAACAACAGAATGCCTTTCTTAAGAATTCAGGACTTGCTGTCTCAAAGCAAGTAACTGTTCTGGCTGTCCATTGTATTCCATTAAGGCAGTCTTTTGCCTTCTCCCCCCTTTGAATTGGGCTATAAAGTGCATGGAAAATTAAACAAGTGTGAACTCAGAACTCAGTACTTACTATTCAGAATTCAATATGCAGGAGACACTGAGTGACCTCCTGATACTATCCTATTTCTCTGTGTTTTCTTTCTCATGTCTCTTCTTTCTACTTAACTTTTCTAATCCTCATGATCATACCCTGGAACATACAAAATGCAAGAAAAGTAACTGCTTAGCAAGTGAGCCAGAAACAGAGACTGCTGAGGGTCTGGACATGAATCTTGAATCTTCAGGGGAGTAGACCTAAGCCAGAACCCCTGTGGGTCTGGGCATAAGTCTAGGACCTCCCAGGAACTAGGCCTGAGCTAGGACCTTTGTGAGTCTGGTCATAAATCTGGGACCTCCAAGGGAGTAGGCAGGAACCAGAGATCTCTGCAGGGTCAGGCGTGAGTCTGGGACCTCAGAGGGAGTAGGCCTGGTTCAGGACCTACAGGGTCCAGACATTAGTCTGGGACATCAAAGGGAATAGGCAGGAAGCTGAAACCTCTGCGGGTCTGAGCTTGAGTCTGGCACCTCTGAGAGGGTAAGCCTGAGCCAGGTCCTCTGGGGTTCTGGGCACATCTGAGCCTGGAAACTCTGAGGCAGTAGGCCAGAGACAGAGACCTTTGTAAGACCAACTCCAAGCCAGGGACCTCTGCAGAAGTGGACTCAGACCAGTATTTACAGAAACAGGCCAAAACCAGAAACCTGGACCAAAGTCTGAGGCAATGATCTCCACCTTGGGCTGGAGCAGGATTGAGGCAACAAATTCCAAAGAAGTGGGTCTGAATGAGCTATCTAGGCCAAGTGGGCCTGAAGAAACAAGCTCCAGAGGAGCGGGAGCCGGGAGCCAATCTAGTCCCAGGACACTGACGGACCAGGACTGAGTCAGTGAACTGATCCAGAGCAGATCGGAGACAGCAAGCTCCATCAGATCAGGTACAGGTGAATGACTGCTTAGCAAGTGAGCCAGAGCCAGAGACACCTGAGTGTCCAGATGTGAATTTGGGATTTTCAAGGGAGTAGACCTAAGCCAGGACCCTTGTGGGTCTGTGTGTATGTCTAGAACTTCTGAGGAATTAAGCCTGAGTTAGTACTTCTGTCAGTCTGTGCATGAATCTGAGACCTCTGAGAAAGTAGGCAGGAGCCAGGCATGAGACTGGGACCTTAGAGGGAGTAGGCCTGAGCCAGGACCTATGTGGGTCCAGGCATTGGTCTGGGACATTAAAGGAAATTGGCAGGAACCTGAAACCTCTGCAGGTCCAAGTGTGAGTCTGAGATCTCTGAAAGAGTAAGCCTGAGCCAGTTCCTCTGGGGTTCTGGACACACCCAAGCCTGGGAACTCCAAGGCAGTTGACTGAGCCAGAGTCTTTTGCAGGACAAATTCTGCAGGAGAGATACAGACTAGGATTTACAGAAACAGTTCAAAGCCAGTAACCTAGGCTAAAGTAGGCCTAGGACAGTGAACTCCAAGGTAGGGAAGCAAAGCCCAGGAGTGCTGAGGAGTCACCAGGAACATGGAGTAATCAACCAGGTAACTAGAACTGTGGCACTGAATGTACCATGAGGAACAACCATCTGAGCTTTGGATTCACTGGTAACTAGATTATTCAAAAGAATCTCAAACAGCCCCAACCACACCTATTAGAGGAAAAAATGAGAAGAAAAAGTAAGAACATGCAACAAAGAGCAAGACAATACCAGTAAAACTTAAAGGCCCTACTACAACAACAAGACTTGAACAACAAAATATAGATGAAGCAGAAGAAATTGACTTAAAAATAAACTTCAGGAGAATGTTTGAAACTATTAAAGAGGAATTGAGAAATTCCCTCAAAGAAATGGAGGAAAAGACAATCAAAAAATTTGGAAGACATCAGCAAATCCCTTAAAGAACACCAAGAAAAAGAAATCAAACAGATGAAAGAAACTACTCAAGACTTGAAAACTGAAATAAAGACAATAAAGAAAACATAAGCCAAGGGAATATAGATACAGAAATCATGAGAAAATGATCAGAAACCACAAATACCAGCAACAACAGCAAAATACAAGAGATGGAAGAGAGAATCTAAAGCACTAAAGATACAATAGAGGAAATAGACTCATCAGTTAAGGAAAACAGTGAATCGAACAAAAACTTAACCAAAATATCCAGGAACTATGGGACACCATGAAAAGGTCAAATCTAAGAATAATAGGTATACAAGAAAGAGAAGTTCAACTCAAAAGCACAGAAAATACAAATTGGAAAGGAAGAAGTCACAATCTTACTTTTTGCTAATGATATGATAGTTTACATAAGCGATCCCAAAATTTCTACCAAGGAACTTCTACAATTCATAAAAAAATCAGTAGCCCTTCTGTACACAGATGATAAAAAGTCTGAGAAATATATCAGAGAAACAACACTCTTCACAATAGCCACAAATAGCATAAAATATCTGAGTAACTAACCAAATAAGTAGAGTACTTGTATGACAAGAACTTTAAATTCTAAGAAAGAAATTGAAGAAGACACCAGAAAATGGAAAAATCTCCCATGCTCTTGTGAAGGCAGAATTAACATAGTGAAAATGGCAATGTTACCAAAAGCAATTTACAGATTCAATGCCAATGCCCATCAAACTCCCAGTAAAATTTTTCACAGATCTCGAAAGAATGGTACTTAACTTAATATGGAAAAGCAAAAACCCCAGGATAACCAAAATAATCCTGTACAATAAACAAACATCAGGAGGCATCACAATCCCTGACTTCAGACTCTACTAAAGAGCTACAGTACTGAAAACAGCCTGGTTTTGACATAAGAACAGACAGGATGACCAAAGGAACCAAATAGAAGACCTGGATATTAATTCACACTCATTCAAATTCTTGATTTTTGACAAAAGAGAAAAAATGTCAAATGGAAAAAAGAAAGCATATTTAACAAATGGTGATGGCATAACTGGATAATAACATGTAGAAGAATGAAAATAGACCCATATCTATCACCATGCATAAAACTCAAGTCCAAATGTATCAAAGATCTGAACATGAATCGAGCCATACTGAACCTTACAGAAGAGGAAGTAGGAAGTCCACTTGAATGCATTGGCACAGGAGACTACTGCCTAAATATAGTCCCAGTAGCACAGACACTGAAAGAAACAATTAATAAATGGGACATCCTGAAACTTCAGCTTCTGTAAAGCAAAGGACATGGACAACAAGACAAAAGACCAGTTTACAGAACGGGAAAAGATCTTTGCCAACTCCACATCAGACAGA